GGACCCTCATGCAGGTGTGACCCGGCTGTCCTCGGCTGTCCGGGGGTGCCTGCTTGCTGCCTCTATGAGGAGCCACCAGAGATGCCACCTTCAGCTGTGCATGGCTGGGTTTGCCAGCTGCCTCTCTTGGGAGGCAAAGCAGGGGTGCAGACAAGAGCATGGTCAAGAGGACTGAACTAGGGCATCCATTTGGACTGAACCAGGCTCCATAATGGAAATGGTCCAGGAGCATAAGAACATCAGAACGGCCATACTGGGTCGGACCAAAAGTCCATCTAGTCCAGTATCCTGTCTGCAATGCCAGGTGCCCCAGAGGGAGTGAACAGAACAGGGAGTCATCACATGATCCCTCTCCTCACCCATTCCCAGCATCTGACAAACAGAGGCTAGGTAGACCATTCCTACCCATCCTGGCTAATAGCCATTCATTTATCTAACCTCATAAATTTATCTAGGTCTTTTTTGAACCCTGTTAAAGTCCTGGTCTTCACAACATCCTCTGGCAAGGAGTTCCACAGGTTGACTGCAGTGGGTGAAGAAAAACTTCCTTTTGTTTGTTTTAAACCTGCTACCTATTAATTTCATTTGGTGATCCCCTAGATTTTATCTTATGGGAACAAGTAAATAACTTTTCCTGATTCACTTTCTACACACCGCTCATGATTGTATAGACCTCTATCATATCCTCTCTTAGTCTCCTCTTTTCCAAGCTGAAAAGTCCCTGTCTCTTTAAATCTCTCCTGAAACACCTCTTCCACAAGCCAGTGTCCTAGGCAGTCTGCTCCTGGCAACATGTCACCAAGTTCTGTGCAGGCCGCCCGCTAGTAGAGATGGGTCAGGCACCAAATCACCTGGGTGTGAATTCAACTGTAGATTAAGCTCCGTGGCAGCCTGCCCCCCATTATACCTGCCGGGGCTCCGTGATGACACCAGGCAGCTGGGTCATGTGAAGAAAATAAGACCAGTGTCCTAGGCAGTCTGCTCCTGGCAACATGTCACCAAGTTCTGTGCAGGCCGCCCGCTAGTAGAGATGGGTCAGGCACCAAATCACCTGGGTGTGAATTCAACTGTAGATTAAGCTCCGTGGCAGCCTGCCCCCCATTATACCTGCCGGGGCTCCGTGATGACACCAGGCAGCTGGGTCATGTGAAGAAAATAAGAGATTTCTTCCAGCACATTGGCCGTTAAAGGCGCTTCCAAAAATGCAAACAAAAGGAGGGGGTTTTCACTCCTTTCACTTTGTTTCCCAATTTTCTGTCATAAATTGTTCTCAAGCCTGAAGCCCATAATAAACATTATTTGAAAAATTCGCAGAGACCGATTGGTCATGAATCAAATCAGATCCATCCTCAGCACTCCTACAATCTGCGTAGTATACCCCACTGACCTTCTCTGTGTTCGGAAAGCCAGCATCTGTACCTCGCTACATACTCTGCTCTCCGGCTGGACATCCATAACTGGATTTATGGCTGAAGGCTGGAATATATCATGCACGGACATTGGCATTCATATACTGTACACATCTTCATTCATCTTCCCAGTTGGTTCTGGGTCAGTGGGAACAATTCTTTGGAAACGGACCCCCGCACTTGTAATAAGAGAGGAAGCTATACCCATTCATTTCCATTATGAAACAAACACTCGCCAGGTTAGTCTAAAGATTGGCAAGAGGCTGCAAGTTCCTTCCTGGGCAAATGCTGATGTTTTCCTAAGCATTTGTGATTTTGATCTGGGGAGAAATGCTGCCCTTTACCACCCAGGAGTGCAGCTTCTTCCAAACAGCTGGATTTCCTGGAGAGATGTATTCAGCATTGTGTTGTTTTCATGGGAGAGATTGCAAATTCCCTGAGCAGGAAATGAATCTGGAGGAAAAATGAGTGCCTTAGTCTAGCAGCAAGCTATACTGAGAAATATGGTCCCTTCTCCCACCTAGTGCCTGGTACCAGGGAGGTCAATGTACCTACTGACATCTTCGGGCATTTGCTTGGGAGAGGAATCCTAACTAAAAGAGAAAACACTCAAGTAAAAACCCCTTGTGGTGGACTTGGATTAAAAATACAGTCTCCTCAC